CCTCTCTTCCCAGTTAAATGTCACCAAACCAATCAAACTGTTTACAATTTAACCCAGCAATGTTACAAGCACTTTCAGTCCTTTGTTAACAATCTTTTTAAATACTTTGTAACCAGAGAAAAAAATCATATCACAGCAGTTTAAAACAGGTTTACACAGCTTCCGTTTACTGTTCACTACTCTTCAGCATATACTGACCTAAAATTCATTCCTGGAGCAATGGGAACTGTCATCTCTTTTCCTACAAATGGAAATAACATGACACATTTCCAACAAGGGTAGTAGCACACAGAACTATCAGCTACTGCTATCTTTGTATTTGGCATGATTTTTAAAACACTGTAAAGAAGTTTGAGCAGCTGACTATGCATGGGGCGCAAAATCACAGAGACAAACTTGATATTTGTAACACACCCTTCACAGCGTGTGGTCCATAGCATCTGTTGTCCAAAGATTTCTGTGTTGTGATTTATTGTCATTTATAAAAGAAATACAAAACTTATCCCAATGCAACTACAGGTAATGGGATTAATCAGACTTGCATGAGTCAATTTAAGAGGAAACAGCATGCATTATCAAGTCAGTTTTAACCAAACACTATTCCATTTGAGAAAGATTGCATCTATCCCCTTGGTAAAGTTTTCAACTTCTTGCTATGTTTATGCATCTATAATCATAGCAGGTTCTTACCCCAATGATAGCTGAAGACAGAGCCCTGGAAGGACCACTTCTCCAGGCCCAACGTGAAGGTGAAGTCGCAGGGGTCAAACTTGAACCAGGCCGTGGCCGAGATGTCAGCTATCTTTAGATCAAGGTCCAGGCAGCATTGTAGTTCTGTACAGGTTTCACCAATCAGGGAGCAGTTGCTTGGGACACTGGAAAACCTGGCACAGACATCTTCAGAGAAAAACAAACATTTGCAATGAAGGATACATGTATGTTGACCAAAAAATGTTCTGATACATGAATATTACCATTTGCTCTTGGACGGAAATGTGTAGGTGGTTGACATGAGGGAAGGGAGTTGAGCACACATGGCCTAAGGTATGCCCTCCCTCAGGAGGTGAGGGTGTATACCATAAAGTGTTTCCTAGGCCCTAGGTATCAGTGTTCCATAAGCCCTATGGGCAGTAGTAAGCCGTAGTCCAAGGCACCAGTTTGCTTTAGGACCTATCCATTCTCAGCTGGAACAAGACAGGGTGCACTTTTACACTGAAAAGACGGTCCTGATGATAGCCCAGTGAAATGTTTCTTTGCAAAAAATGGAAGAAAGTTTCCAGAGAGTCTAGAAGTTGCCCCTTGATGAACAAGGGAACTTTTAAGACTCTGGAGGTCAAAAATCATTTGTTTTGTATAATCAGTCGCCAATTCTTCACATTTGTAGATGCCTGCTGTGCAAGTGGCTATTCTACGGACTGCATCATGCAATGACACCCAGAGGTAACATCCCTCAGGTTTGAGCACCACCAGATGACAAGAAGCTGCATGTAAGACTCCACACAATACATGTATTTAGCACCAACATACCTTGCCTATGGTAGGAGCAAGCCTTTCCTGTCAGGAAGCTGGCCAGGTTTAGATGACGCAAAGCTGCATCTATGGCAAACTGACCGATGTTACCTCCAAGGTAAGTCATGAAGCCTGCTACGGTGCCATCACCTGGGAATTAGAACAAGTTGCAAGAACAACTTGATAAAAATAATTAAGTAAATTTCTTTCATTTGACCCATACTGGCTGTGACCTTTGATTATGTTTCAGTATGCTTTACATCAGCAAATTGCACATGCATAATTGAACCTGCTACATGAAAAAAACATGCAGATATGAAAAAATAGCAAAAATTAAAGCAAGTGAACAGGAAAAAGACACAGATGACTTGCACCTGTGGAAAGCCATCCTACCACAGACTATACTACTAGTAAAGCCTTTCAACCCTCCCATTTAATGGGGAAAACAATTAAGAGAGAATGAAAGACAAAGGGAGAAAGCAGTTCTCAATTACAATTAAACAATTACAGTCCACAATGTTGCAGTGACAATAAAATGACATTCAAGCACACGGTCGTACACATCAACACCAGACACAAAATAAAACAACTAGAACTGCAACAATAAAGTGTTAGACCTGAGAGTTAAAGGAAATAAGTTGGTTCCAAATAGGAACTATCAGCCAAAAAAGAGAGACCTGTGAGATTCAGTTCCACAAGGGACACCATCAACATAAAGGAGCAGAAGAAAGTCTGGTGGTTGGACCCCCGGGAATTAACGTTTTATACAAAATAACGTATTTGAGCCAGGGTACCTATTTTTAAGCAGTGGTTCATAAGAATAAAACTCAAAGCTATAAATTCAAATTCAAAGTTATTTTGTCTACATCATGAAAAATGGATGATTGTGTTCAATTGGCAATTCTGTTTTAAATGTTTCATTAAATCAGTAATTACATAATTACAAATAAAAACAAGACATTCAAAATAAATAAATAATTACTTCATAATAAAAACAAAATAAAACAAATATGCCCACAACAAACCATTCAATTAAAGGGACACATCCAAAATAAACATACCAGGGAGAGTGAATGGATCTGGAGTGTTACACAGTGGTATCGGCAGATGACTTGCTGAAAGTACTGTGAGTGTGTCACAGGCTCCATCTATACAAAGAACTAGCGACAAGTCTACCTCAAGCTGCTTTTCTTCAGTGATCTTGGCTACTCGCCAGCTACATGACATGCATAATACACACCAAGTCGATTAGAAAGCATGCACTTGAAAAAAAAAACCGAAATAAAACTAACTCCAAAAAAGCAAAGCATTTACATTAATTAAACAAGGTTTTTAAATGATTGTTTAACGTTTTCAAAAAGGTTTTAAAAGATTTGTTCAAGTTTCATATCAGCTGCAGTTGACTTGAAATTTGATCATTCAAAGCAGGATTCAAACAGTATTCAAACTGTACTTTTCTAGGTCGTGCTTTTTTATGCAACAGCCTTTGTGAATAACAAAGAAATTCTGGCACACCCAAAGAAAAGAGAGACAACAATTCTACTGATTTCAGAGATGGATATTAAGTCATTTTTGGTAAAAAAACAAAGAGTAATTGTCAGATGGTGTGCCACATCTAGGGGCCACTAGTAGTCATTTTGTCTGAACTTAAGGATCTCATTAAACTTAAACATACGAAGGACACACAGGAACTGAAAAAAAAATTATGAGGACACTGGTCATCACATGTGTACCTCATTCTCAGGACATCATTCACAACCTCCTCCATGACATCTCCCATAGGGTAATGGAACAAGGTGACGCTTCGTTCCCACTTCTCAAAACCCACCGATACGGTAAAGTTGCAGGGATCCAGAATGAGCCATGCATTGATGCTGCGAGTAGTTATCTTCAAGTCCATCTCCAGACAGCATTGGATGCCCAGGCAGGAATCGGTGACGGTGCAAGTGAGAGAGTCAGGAAGCTGGGTGATATCCACAGCTGGGCAACCTGAGAAAGAGAGTAGTTGATGGCAATCGACAAAAGAGACGGAGATAATGTGGACGAAAAAAAAAAAAAATACAACCAAACCAAACCAAACCAAACCAAACCAAACTAAGAAACCCTGTAGGACACAGGTAAAGGAGAAATATTAATGAGGGAAACCCTTTGATTCTTGGCCATGTTTGTATGAACTATAACGGTGACAGTAAACAAGTTACGGAACTATAATGGTGACAGTAAACAAGCTACAGAACTATAAAGGTGACAGTAAACAAGCAGCGGGTATTGGACAGATGATAGCACTTCAATATAATGAAGATGAACAGCAGCGTAACATTCTAATGAGAAGGGAATGCCAACAATAGCAGTTATCTAGGTATAAGTTAAAAAGACCAATGATTATTTGCCACTTTCTGAGGTGATAAATTTTCACAGAATGAGTGTAATATTTCCAACTTACCACTTCTCAAAGTGCCTGGCATTCCTGTATCACACGGAGTACTCTGCAAATATTGCTGTAACAGGATGCAATGAGCAAAAGTTAGTTTGTGATCACATTGAGGAAAAATATGTGCCAACCAAGCCTTGAAACCCAACCAAGAGTGAAACCCAACCAACAGAATGCCTGCTGAAGCAAGTTGTTTACTCACTCAACTCTCACATGAAGTCTCAAGGTCGTAAGTGAAAAAAGACATCTAAAGGAAAGTAACTAATGAAAGTCAAAGTCACATTCCCAGTTGAATGTGCAGTGGCAAAACCAAGCGACGGAAAGTCTGCTGAAGTAAGCCATTCACTCACACTCAGGTTAAGTTTCTCCAGCACCAGGTCAATAGCAGAGTTTCCAATACGGCCACCCAGCTGTCGTATGAATCCGCCCACTGTCCCATCACCAGGCAGGGCGAATGAGGTGGCATTGGTGTTGCACACTGGTATGGGTACCCAGACCTGGTCCAGTACTGGGGTTGTGGTGCATGCGTCATCAATGCACAGCATGATGTTGAGGGACACAGAGAAGACTTTCTCTGTTGTCAGCATGTCAATGGAGTAGCTGTAAATAGCACAAATATATGTACTTATAAAGTTTGGTACAACTGGTGAGACTCATGTAAATTGTAAAACTTGAGAGAAAATAAAATTTATATTTCTGAGCTCAAAGATGTCTCCAACCTGCATTGCAATGAGACTGATGCCAGTTTATGGGTAAAATGATTACAGTGGTATATTTGTTAGGCAGTTGCTGTAGTTCTGTTAAAACATAAATATTTATAGACTTAATTCCTGCACAAACTTAAGCTGATATACACAAAACAACAGGAAAGTCATTGGCTGTAGCAAAATTGGGATAAAATCTCAGAAATTAGCATTGAAATCGCACTACAGATGTTCTTAAAAGAAATTCATGGATTAGTAATTCAGTCAGAATTATGAGGAATCTTCACACTTTGTTAGACTGTAAAGTTTGGGTTGGGCCTGTTTTGGGACACTAGAAGAGTGATATGAATTCAGAAGTTTGATTTTAAGTTTGTGATAATTGGAACTGGAACAAAATGAGAAACCCTCAAAATACAGATTTCTTCAAAGTTGTATACTTTAATTGCCACCAAAAAAACCAGAACCGAACACACCTCAACATTAATGCATTTTCAATGTTGATTTTTTCCACAGTCCCCCAGGTGTAGCTGAACAAGGTGACATTCAGTTCCCAGTTCTCAAAGGCCATATAAAGCTGGTAATTGCATGGATCCACTTCAATCCTTATGCTCAGCATGAGCTCAGTGATGACAAAGTCC